GAAGTAGAAGAAGGCGTTTGCGGGCAGGCGGATGTGGTAGTGCGCGTTGGCTGAGGAGTGTGAAGGTGAACGTAGGGTTGAGGAGAGCAGAAGGTGACTTCGCATCTGCAGGAGGGCGTAATTGTCGCAATCGGTCATCTGCTGGCTGGGACGGTCAAATGACTTCAGCTGGTGGCAGATCTGGGTTTGTAATAAAAAAATAGGCATATATTTCAAAGACGGCTTGCTTAGTAATTTCTAATGCACAATATGACAAGTCATCAGTTGAACCCGACAAAGACGACCACCTACTCCTTGGGGAAGGAGGGAAGCGGGACAGTGGCGATTGCAAGTTAAAGAGGTTGCACAGCAGCTACCTTATTCATCCTATCTAGCACAAAATTGAAACATACCCCGAAGAAAGTGGCAAAACGATAACTGAAACCCACGCCTAGGCATGTTAGCTGCCACAGCCAATTAGTGTGCGCTGCAGTATCGAGCATGCGTGATGCTTTTGAGCACGCGTTCTGTGAATCAAATAATCGATATTTTCCCGCGAGGAGTTTATGATCATAAAGTAACCAATCAGTGACCGCTAAGCTACGGACCGGAGGTTTCTGGAACGCCTGGCTTGATTTGGCACGCGATAGGCTGGAATGTTTCAGAACGCATAGGGACCACATAAATATGGCGAGTTTGGATAAGAAAAAAAGGCGTGATGGGTTTCCATGCCACCCAAACAAAGGCGGGTTTGAAGAGGGTTGAAGACCTGCAGTTGCTCTGATAGCCTGTATCCTGACGGGCACGTTACCAGTAATATTCACAGAGGTGACTGGACGAAGTACTTCTTAAAGAAGAAGGAATGGCTCTTCGGTGCAAAGGAGACGAACGCACGGCAGCTGGGATTGGCTATGAGTACTGCTAACAAATCAACAAAATAGCGTGGGGGGGCGTGGAAGGGGGGCGCGTGAGTTGGCAGAGGCATCACTGGTAGCACAGCTCGTATACACCCAGCCTCCGTATCGTGTCTTACAATGAGGGTAAGGGTTATGTATAGTAAACTATATCATCCTTATTAGCCTTTTCTCGCCCTGCCAACGAAACAATTACATTTTTTGTAGAGCCATAGCTTTTGACCTTACATAAGCCCACCTTAGCTGCCATTCGTTACATTTTCGTATTCACGATTAGCCTGTTTTGCCTATTTCCCCACCCGCTCCCGTAAGGCACAAAACTGGAGATAAGTGTATATAAGGTGCGATACCAATGATACCTCCGCCACATGAGTTACTAGCCCAGTGTGATAAAGCATCAACAAACGCATTTTCCGGTATGAAAGGACAAACTGACATAGGTCGCCTAATTGTCGAATTTCGTGTAAAAGAGAAAGTTTTGGGGCTTTTCAGGGCAAAAACCAACGGTTCCTAGTTGGCCCGTGAGAGAAACTTGCTGCTTTTCAAAAGAAGGTCGACTTTGACGAACGGGCAAATCGAAAGTCATCAGTTTCCGCACTATAGTGGGCTCCCAGGAGTCTAAATTGCTCAAAGAAGAAAACCGGAGGGTAGTAACGCCGGTACAGTCTACTAAAGGACTCTACCCAAACTACTGTTGGAAGCATCAGTCATCTGGACAAAGGCGCGAGTCAGAAAACTTGCCGTTGATTGATGAGCCATGAATAAACGGAACTGGTGGAAAACGAGAGCCAAAGCACCAAAATAAGAGTTTTGTGGAATTTAGAAGAGCAGTTGACGAACAGACGTAAGCTTTCGACCAATTATCATCGGGCTGGTACATTTATATGGGAACGGGGTACAGACCAAACCACAAAAATAAAACCTTCATGGAATTGCAGTCTACTTGTTAAGCAAATCGTTATGTGATGAACTAATGGAAGGCTTTATTAAAGAAACCTATGAGGAAAGCGGGGTAACCTGGTGATTACCAATGATTGTGGAGACTTGTGCTGGCTACAATAAAATTACTTAGGTAACGTGTTAAGTGTGACTACTGAATATTTGGAAGTAACGAGGAATGTTTCCATATCTTTACGGTGGAAATATTCTCGACTATCGGTATCTAACTGCGACCGGAAGAGCGTTTAAAATCAAGAAACCATGGTATAATCTGCTGTCATAGAGAATTCACCTACCCCTACACTCTCCGGAGAAAAAATACGTTCTATTTATGAAAACAGCCTCGTCAATACCGCGATATCCTCGGCCCAGGTACAGGTGGCCAAACTGATAAAACTTGATGGCCGAAATACAGATGGTCAGCCGAGGTACCGCAGCAACTGTAACTGCAGCTGAAACCTCCGCAGTTGTCTACAAAATACGTTGCAAAGATGAAGAATGTACTCACGTTGGGGAAAAATGGCGCAAATTGCAGACCTGCCTACAGGAACATAAAGCGGCGGCCCAGAGACTAGACCCTTACTTGCAACTTGCAACACATATTGGAGAGACTGGCCACGACTTCGAAATTCAAGAAACGACCATCTTAGGCCGAGGAGTCCCAAAAGCTGAATGATTGACGCTTGAGGCATGGTATTCAGACACCAATTCTGTCAAAAGGTACAGGACACGGTCAAACCGAAGTCAGGATTTGCAGACGAAGACGGCCTGTGACGAAAACACCGGAAGAGGGAGCAGAATTACCAGCATCCTCTACCGTGGGAACGAAACAGAACACCAACTGCCGTCACGCCAAGGCAAAATTCACACGCAGGGCCAAACAGCGAACGGAGAAAAATCGATCAGCCCAAGGCCAACAAATGCAGCCGCAACTTTAAACTTGCTGGTCGATAAAGTCAGTATTCACTTCAACAAAGGACAGCCGGCCCAGCTTTCCGGAACGTCAGCAAACCTACAAATTTATTCCGGTGAGCAGAAGATGAACTCTTATTGTTATCCCGGAATTCTGCATTTTTCAAATTTGAATAGTAAAAAAACGTGTACATGTTTGGGCGAAAAACAAACCCCCTATTTATGCCTTGGCCCATTCCTATGCTAAGAATTGTCGCAAACGACATGAGCGTAATTGTAAGATTGACCTAGCAGGGACCACGAAGGTTTACCAAGACAACCGCCAGCCTGACACTTGATTTTCAGAAAGACAAGGACACTTGACCCTCAAAAATGATGACTTGTAGATAGATGTCTGCTCTGAAGACGCAGTAATAAAGGTCACCGGGAACCTTTTGTTTCATCACGTACGTAATTTCCGGCCAGATGCAAGTTTTATTAAGCCCTGAAAAGTCCTCCAGCATGTTGTTAGTTAATGTTTTTTTGAATAAATTGTAAGGTTAGATTGATAAATTCGAAAACACGGCAGCAAGTATAAGGCTAGAGAACGAAGAGGTACTTAAAAAACGGTCATTACCACAACGGACATGATGGCTGTGGCGGACGGCCACAATGCTTGTCCACCCCACCCCC